ACCGGTTCTGGATCAGCGTCAGGTCGGCCGCGATCGGCCCGAGCGGCCAGTGGTCCACGTACAAGCCACCCGGCCCGCTGTTGACAAACTTGGTGCACTTGAGCGCGTCGGCGCTGGCGAAAATCTCAATCAAAAGCGTCGTTGGTTCCGTGATCGGCGACGCCCTCTCAAGGAAGAGCGTCGCATCGCGCTGGACAATGCGCAAAGCGTCAATGGGAAGGTTGCCTGCGCTCGTGGCCGTCACGCGGAGGTCGGTCTCGACGGCGGCTTGGCTCACAAACACGTGGCAAGGCAGGTTGTTGTCGATCTCGTGGATCGTTCTCGCGTCAAAGGTGTAGGTGAGGACGCTCATATTGTCGTCGAATTGAAGTTTTGCAAAGTGTCCCGCGCCAAGAAGCAACGAAAGGGTGTTCGCTATGAAAATTAAGAAGCGAGAATGTGGGTGCTTACCGACACACTTGGGTCGGAGCCTACTACCAACACACTTGGGTCTGAGTCGAGGATGCGAAGCGACGTGCCGCGAACGCTGGTCGGTGCAGCTGCGGCACATCGGATGATGCACCGTCGTTCCCGGCAGCGGATTGGCCGGAGCCCGCCCAGCTTCCTGTGACGACGGGCGGAGGACGGACACGCGCTTGTCGTGCGTGGTTTTATTGGTGCGCATCGCGCTCCGAGGGGATGATGAGCGACGAGTGGCACCTCTGCATGTATTGGGTGCCTTCTTCTTGAAGTACCATGTCGCAATGACGTCACGTCTGAACGCTTGTTCGTAGTCTGTCCAAGTAAGAGCTGGCAACTGCCAACTGCCAAGCAACAGCGCGCCCAAGTCCACACGGCGCTTCTCGTGCATCACACGATCCCAAAGCGAAACGGCTGCGATATCATTGCAGCCATTTTAGACTGCCACGTCAGGAAAATATTCCGACCTCATACGTGGCAGCACGAGACGTGACCATGGCCACACAACTGTCGCCATCCACGTGAAGCCGATTGGTCGCACTTTTGTGGTCCTGCTTCGCGAGCCATTGATTCAGAAGAGACCAGGTGCACCTTGCAATACCAAATGAACGTCAAAAGGTGGTGGTGATAATAGCAAGAAGGGAAGGTTCCAGTCGACTTCTCATAGTCGAGCGGTTTAGACACTGGTTACCACTCAAGTAGATCCGGGTTCGGGTCCCGGAGAGAGCCCCGCTTTCTAATTATAATCACATAACGTGGCACTCCCACGTGCTCGATGTGTCGACATCAATGGCGTTGGGCACACGGTCGGGAAGCGGCGCTGCCTCGGGTACGATGACCGACGACGGGTTGTGCAAGTGCGAGCACGGCCCGTGGCACGTTTCTGGCGGCATCTTTGTGTAGTAAATGCTACCGGGACCGACTGGCTTGGCCCGCAGCGCGTGCACGGCCTGCGTCGTAATCGATCCAGAACCGTACACTGAAGCATCGACCTCGTGGGCGGTCAGCGCGTCGGTTCGAATGCGCCCGCTGCCTGTGACGGTCGCGGTGGCGACGACGCAGGTGCCCTCGCCTCGGAAGCACACGACGCCCGAGCCTTGGACAGTTGCTTGCACGGACGTCGCGTGCCATGCTTTTCGCGCGCCGAGGTTGATGACGCCGGCGCCTTGCACGCGGCTGCTTGCATATGTGGTGTTGACGGTTTCTGCGTAGACGGCGATGTTGCCATGGCCCGAGACGGTCGAGTCGAGGGAGCACAGTGCGAGTGCGCCGGCGTCAACTTGAATCGCGCCGCCACCGCTAACGTGGCATGCAAAGCGCGTCAGTGACAGCGCAGGCGTCTTCATGTAGATGCCACCCCGGCCGTCCTGCACCAGACACAAATGGCCTCCTTGCGCTGTGCGCGCCACGCCGTCCATACAGAGATCGCCGCCGCCAGCATTTGTGATTTTGGTGGCTGTCCACGCCGCCTCGTCCACATGTACTTGAACGAGCACTTGGCCTGTGAGGTGTCCATGCGTGGTGCGCAGTGTGAGCACACCCTGCACGAGCTGAACGATAAAGTGGTCCACGCTGCGGTGCGAGGCGGTTAGCGAGACAAAGACTTTCCCGGGGGGTCCGTCGGGAAGCACGAAGACTCGACACGGCAGCAGGTTGCGAAGCTCGCGCACGGCCGCAGCGTCAAAGGACGTCGTGTACGGTTCCAAGGACATGGCGACGACAAGGGTTCTGCGCTGGCCAGCTACTGACAGGGCAACATGAGAGTGATGATCCAGAGTGTGTGTCCTGATGCGGAAGACACACGTGTTTTCCACCAATCCAAAGTATCAAGACCCTGTAGATGGTGTGACTCTCATGTCCGATGCATCGAGCTTGTCGCTCTCGAGCTCCACAAGCCGAAGGACGCGAACGGCCGCAGCAGCTTTGGTCGACCTTTGCAGAGGACGCATGTCGAGCAGAACAAACCTTGCCGCGCTCGGCCTAATGTTTCCTCGCCTGGATGCAAACCAGCTCATAGAAGCGGCGATGCGCTCGGAAACTCTTGATCTTGCGACCCCTCGCTTGCCAGAAAGCCCTTGGTTGGGAGCTAGTAGCTACTGAGCAAGGTTCGCAAGCACGTTTCTCTGCCAAGTGCGACATCTCGGCGCCCTGTCTGTGACTTGTTTTCTCTCAATAAAAGGCCAGCAGTGGTCGTTCTTTACGACTCGTCATCAAGACAACGTCGTGCAACATCGTGCGACGCGTTCGCAGCAGGAAAACTACATCCAGCAAAACACACTAGTGCATCGTAAAGGCCAGATCGTTGCCAGATCGTTGGCGGCACGAATCATGTCCCGCGTCACCGTGAAAAAGGCCCCGATGGGAGGCAAAGGCCCGGCGAGCTGCTGGGCGACCACGCATCGGACCCCATCGAAGTGTGTGTTGGTCGAACTCAACAACCCTCCTCGTCCGTTTCATGCTCGGTGCGGTGTCACCGCAGCAAAAGATCGAAGATGAAATCCCACCAATCCGCGACAAGCACGAGAAGCAGCTGGGTTTGAGCGCCTCCTCGCCGGACGTTGGTGCAGCCAAGTCGGCCGTGCTTCGGGTCCCATATGGCGTGTATCGATGACAGCTACGGACGATCGCTGTTGCGGAGTGAGGCCCATACGCGCCAAGAAGGCAACTGCAGCCACGCGGGTCGCTTACTCGCAGATTTGCAGCCTCAAGCGCCATGGCCACCACCGCCGAAGCCCTCCTCGAGGAATTCGAGGTACACGAGTGTTCGCGCTTCATCACGTCCTCACTAGTTTCCTTTAGGCAGACCTTCAAGACGACATCGAGGTCCTGAAGCTCCACAACGAGACCGGACGGTTGGTAGGACGGCACGGCCAATGCTGCTTGTCGTCACCCCACGGTATGCATCATTGTGTAGCGCTTCCGCGATCCAGTCAACGGTCGATGCCTTGGGCCCGATCAACGGCGAGCAGATTGCGCTCGCCGCGCATGCGTACCATGAATTTGATATGCACGCGTTGCGAGCGCAATATCCTCCAGGTTGATCGCTTCCACGTCCGCGTTGTCAATATAGTCTCTACCTGTGTGTGAACAAGCAGTGCTCTGCCCAACTAACGTTAACTGTAAATGAAGGTGTTTCGCGATGTCTTTGTTGGTACAAAGAGTCGAACCAGTCGGTGGAAATGAAGGGTGCGAGTCGTAGCGATGAGCAACCTCACGACACTGCCACATCCCGCTGCTGCCTTGTTAGTGCCAAATGCACGCAGGTCTTGAGATCCAACTTAACGCGCAACAACGAGATCCAGATCTCATACCGTCACATTTACGCATTGAAGAAGAAAAGGAACCGACTTAAGCCGCACTCGTGGGCGGTGCGAGCGTGAGCAGCGGCCGATGCGTCTCCATCGAGGCTCGCAGTGGGTTGCTGTAGCCGTCCTCATCGTTCTACGCCCAGTGTAAGAGGTCGCTTGTCGGCAGAGAGCGCCGCACCATTTTGCGCCGCGTCGCCATCTCGCGCAGACGGCTCGCCACCTCGTTGAAGCCTGCGTTCTGGGCCTTTGTCCAGAGCGTCACGCCCGCCTACGTATATGCGTGCATATGAGAGACAAGAGGTCGTTTCCGCTCGGTCGTACAGCGTCCAGGATGCTCACATCCACGCCGTCCGCGTCGAGAAGGATGGGCAATAGCGTCTGCTGGCGCCGGTCGAGGGCCGCATGCAACGGCGGC